CCAAAGGCTATTCCGAGACTGACTTCTCTGAAGGCTGGTCCGAGACTGACTGCTTCTCGTCGAAGCCGGGCTATTTATAACCTTGGCCGCTGCTAGGCAAATGAATCCTTTGTTATAACCATGGAGACTCCTGTTAGAACTACAATGGAGCAACTGTCGTTTCCTATGCAACGGTCTATTCTAGCGTTTCCATAGAAGTTACTCTTCTGGGCTGCCGACACGTTACATTATGTATATTGTTCTTTCTTTACAATTTCATGATCATGACCAAGAAATTACGCGTGTTTTGATTGCATAGGTTCCAGACTTACAGTAACAGCTGGAGTGCAGACCTCCTCCCCAAAGCCACCCAGCGCTCTCCCCAGAAGCATACAACCGCTTTTCGGCTGTCACTTCTTGCAACCGTTGGGCGCCACTTCTCGTGACCGTTGCCTATCTATCTTTATGTTTATTTATTTATTTGCCCGCTTCGGTAGAACACTTGACTCATTTATTTGCCCGCTTCGGTAGAACATTTGACTCTTCTCAGGGATGTGTCACGGTAATAACTGGGGCAACGTGGAGACTACACATTTAAAGCTAGTCCACTGATTCAAATCAAAGACACTATTTTCTGCTTAATCACAAATTGTTTATTTCAGAAGCAAACACTATATCTTTGTCCATGATTTATTTCAACCGTCTTCCAGTGCATACACTCATCTATCTCCTCCTCTCACTCGCACTACATGTTTCGGCACAAAAGTGCCATCTTCAGGTGCTTATTCAATTTACGCTAAACTAGTTCATTGCATGCCTTGTCTTCATATTAAAATAACTAAAATATATATTTATCATATATATTGATAAATGTTAAATGTTAAAAATATTAAAATTGTTCAGGAATTTTTTCTTCCCTACGTCGTATCTCACTACGCGAGTCACATCTATCCTCTTTTGTTGGAGCACTCTTTCACTAACGTGTATTATTGTGCTTTGTGTTGTTTCTTGCTCCTGTGACTGCGTGTGTTATACTGCTGGGCCTGCTGGGTATGTGTGTGTGTGTGCTGTCTTCGTTTTGAGTCTCTCACCCCCCAAGGAAGATTCCTGATACTCATTCCTCTCAGGGGATGAGTCTACCCAAGGATTATAGTGAGGCTTGAAAGATTAGGTCAATTGAAAAATCCAATGACCTCATCGGGAACCCAACCTTTTGACTTTTTGAATAATGTCTAAGAAGTTAAAAAATACCCGATTAGCAAAGATAGCGTACTCCAAACAGTTCAGCAGCTTTTAATGTAATCCCATGGAAGTTTCTCCGCTCGTAGAATAAGACGCTGGTGTAGGCGAGTCCGCTGCCGGAACTCCAGATACCAACTCGGTACTTCTGCAACGGTAAGGTGGGATTGACTTGGTACACCTCACTGAGCGACACGGTCATGGGGCTCTCACCCGAGGCATTCCAGCTCTCAGCCACCAGGGATTCGCAGTCCAGCGGGATATGAATATCGCTGAAGAATTCCTCAGCAGAGGTCGCTGTGTCCAGAAATATAACCCACCTGCCAGAAGAGAAGCTGCACTGCGTGGAAAACTGAAATATTTTTAAATTGTTACGTCCACAGTCTTTTACACTCCTAAAATAAAATAAAAGTAAAATAATCATTCTAATTTATTAAATTATTTCGTAGACTACCATATTTCATGTGGGTGTCGTAAGGGAACAACATAATCCCCCCATGTAGACTTTCGAGAAAAAAAATTTGAAAAGAGAGAATTATACCAAATATTAATACCGGTGCCAAGAATGAAATTCACTCCTAAATGTAGCGCCTTCCGAGTTTTAATATAGAGACCCCGAAATCTACGGCGATCCGTAAAAATATTCTTAAACAAGAGTCTGTAAAAAAATTCGCGTTATCCCCCTTAGAAAAAAAAAAATGGCTGTCCTTTATTGCTGTGACATCAAATAAGTTTTGAAGAGCAGGTGATAAAATATAAAAGATTTTCTGGTGTCTGGCCTCAAAATGGATAATATATAAGAAACAGAAATGAGAAGTGTAAATTAATAATATTCTTGGATTTAAATATTTCTTACCGGAAGTGCGACATTTAAACTTCGTTTCAGTGCTTCCTGGGATTTGAATTCATTACGACGTTTAAAACATATGCACTCCATCGAATTATTGCAAATATATCCGTTTTTCGATTCGTTTTCTACACTAGATCTGCTAGAACTTCCCTCCAACATATACACATGTGACGCTAGACGCTTCTGTTTTCTTCTGCAGTTTGATAGTTTTGGCGATTCTTTTTTTTTAATTTGTAATCTGATTCGAACTGTATATCTCCCAAACACAACTCTTGTTTACAATGCATAAATACGAGCCTGCATTAATTACGAACTGTAGCAATGGCGAATATTCCAGTGTGATTATTAGTGTTCCGTGAGACCAATGCAACCTGAGGTATACTTATAAATCCTACTTTACTTTCAATAAAATCTCTAAATTTTGTCTGTATTCAGATGTATTCATTCTGTAGCCTAGCCCATACGTCACAGAATTTCTAACTTCGCATGCGTCGAGCAGGGGAAGCGGATAGATTCATCGCTGGATTAAAGCAAAGTATGCTTTCGCGCATGTGTCGCTTTGAAAAGAGAGCAAGAGAATACAGCTATGTTACTGTACTGCCAGATTTGTTGTTGAATTTCCGCATGATGTGATTCATAAAGAGACGATGCGATGCATACATAATGCAAATTAACGCTGGCCTAAAATGTGTGTACCAGTCATGACGCTCTTTTGTCACCTGTGATAATGCTTGTTGTGTCTCTGTGTCACTAGATGTAATGACGTAGAAGGGTCTGTTGCCATGGCATCGCGTCTGCTGTGTTGTATTCTTCATTACGTGGACAGGAAACGTTGCGTGGGAAATCAACGAAGAATGACTTCTTTCTGCAATTGTGCGTGTAGTTTGATGGTCTGAAACATACCTGTAAACATAGGTGGCATGACCTACACCCAACTTAGATTCCGCAAAATATATTTCCAGGTTAATTTTAAGTTTTATTTCCAAAAAAAAATGCTTTAACCCTTTAAAGACTCAACCCGTCGGTAGGGTATATTGATGCCGGTCCTCGCCAGGCCAGTCATTCTTGATTCCGAGTACCGCGGTCTCATGACTATATTTTACTGTCTCATGACTATGAGAGTCGTTCAACGTAATCTTCTTAAAGACCCAAAAGTCGAAGTCAAAGTTACTTTACGACTGGTAGTTTACTGTCAATCAGTTCGTCTTGGTGTCAAGCCCCTTGAGACTCAGGACCAGGGATTCTTTTTTCCACCGAACTGTTGCCGTAACAGTCATTGCGTAACAAGTCAAAGTCAAAGTCGCATTGCGACTGACGGTCAGTCAGTCTGTCAGTCAGTCAGTCACTCTTGGTGTCGAGCCCAAACTGGGGCTCATGACCAGATATTTATTACTGTTTGACAGTTCAGGTCTTGTTATTGTGGGGCGTCCTCTCTGACGAGAGGACGGGTCTGTCTTGTCAGTCTTTGTCTCCTAGTAGTAAGTCATTTGTCATAATGTAAAGGATATTTACATTTTACATGTTAAACATGATAATGAATGTATTAAATATATACAGGGCCTCTGTCAGTCCAGGCTCAGTACAGCAGATTACGCCCTATTTCTAGTGCTTCCGCTACAATGGCAGTCTAGTCACTTGAACGGTCGTATGCTTGACCGCCGCCAAGTTTAAGCCTCTTATACTTTCTATGTCGGGCTTCTCCTTGTCCAATATTGCGAACATTTTCGTTATTATGATTTTGTATGACTTCCGCTTGTTGCCTGCATAATTTTGTTATGTAATCATATAAGTACGGAATTTTGAAAGCCATGTGTAAATCGCTAACCGATGTGTGCCTGGGAAGATTGCCAATGGTGCGGAGAACCTTGTTTTGCAGGCGCTGCAATTTCGTTAGATGGGTGTCTGCCGCACACTCCCAAGCGGGACTAGCATAAGTCATTATGGATCTAATGAGAACTTTGTGGATGATCAGCTTAATGTCAGGGCTTAATCGCTCACTTTCGAATAGGGAATACAATCTTATAAATGTTCTGAAGGCCTTGGCTTCGAACATTTCTATGTGCAATCTCCATGTGACCTCCTATTAAAGATTACTCCGAGATACTTTACACAATTTACAAATGGAATATTCTTCCATTCAGTGTTAAGATTAGACACAGGCGGACAACGACTGCGAGAGAAGTAGACCCCCTGAGTCTTATCTTCATTAATTTTAATATTCCAGCGCTCACACCAGGTCTCCATTGAGCTGAGACTGCGCTGGAGGTTTCTAACAACAAAACCCTCCTTGCGATCTGTCGCATACAGACAGGTGTCGTCTGCAAAGAGGGCTAGCTGAACACCATGTGTTTGGGGGGCATCATTTATGTACATATTGAAAAGAGTAGGGGACTAGACCAAACCTTGTGGCACCCCTGATTGCATTTCTCTTGGCGTAGATATTTCGCCTTCCACCGAAACACTGAATTTTCGTTGTGAAAGAAATGATCCAGTAAGCTTGAGTAAACTGGTCGAAAATTCCAATTTTGACAACTCATATAGCAAGCCGGAGTGCCATGTAGTATCAAAGCCTTTTTTGATGTCCAAGAACACCGCACCCGTAGACATTTTGTTGTTGAAATTAAGGGTCACGTGGTCCGTTAAATGTATACATGTAATGAACTGCTTGGAGGCTTACATGTATACAAGTCTAGAATATAACATTATGTCTACTTGNCCTACATTACAGAAAATTGTAATCTTAACACTCACCACTGTGAAAACATCACATCTCACATAGATTGAAGGTGTTTAACATTAGCATGCTGAGGGGAACAACTGGATATAGAGGAAATTGAGTAACAGGACACAACAAAAATTTGCACATATTACAAATTATAATTTGTTCCCTTCACAAAATATTAGAGTGCTCTAATAAAGAATGGTGAAATGAATGGGTGGAGAAGAACAGTGCATAGCCTCCAACAATTTAGTTACTAGTCCTGAAGGGAAGACACCATTTGACAGACCTAGCAACAGATCAGAGCTGAAAGATTTTAAAGAAATGGGAAGCAGGTTGTTAACTGGATTAAACAGATTTAGATTAGAATTCTGTGGCAAGTTCTTGTTAACACTACAATGAACCTTCAGGTTCCATAAAAAAAGGAAATTTCTTGATCTGTTAAACAACTCTGCTTCTCAAGAAAGGTATTGTCCAATTTAATTATTTATTTACCGCTTGACTATACAGTCCTTTAAGATGCTTGACCTCCTTTGACCATTCTTTCCCATTATTTGCCTTTTGCCTCCTCCTCTTGACTTTCCATTCCTATACATCATTCTCTCCATCTTCCAGCTATCTCAGTATGGGCCTTCAAACTTTTAGTCAGCTTTCCACATTAATTTCACCTAGTGCCAAATCTTCTGATGTGTTCCTCAAATAGCATTCCTTTAATGAAAGATTTTCCCAGACCTTAGCAAATGTCGCTTGGTGTGCTGGGACCTGAAGGAGCTAGGGTCAGCGGGGGAGACCTGCCTGCATCTGTACCTTCTCAAAGCCACATCCATACATGCAGACCTCGCCAAAAGGCTCCTGAGGTTCTACCCAAAGCTCATCAATGACATCTATATGTGTGATGAATACCATGGTAATTAATTGTAAAGTGGTTCTGACAGTGGTGTAGTACACATAAAGTAATGGGCATTCTGGGCTTTGTCCACTATCTGTTATTCTAACATGGTAATAGTATTTGAAAAACAGAAAAACAGAAAGATCCCTTTAACAGTAAATATTATACAATAATAATACTGTTACTTTACATTTAGAATTGTTTGTATTTACCACAGTAAATACAAGGATCTGAGACGCCTGGGTCCAAAAGTAAACAAAAGTAACAAAGGCTTGAAGCTCATGCTTCTGATCATAGTGGCCTTGGTTTAGTGCCAGGATAGTTCATGTAGGATTTGTAGCAAACAGGCTGGCACTGGAGTAGGACACTTCTCTCTTTGCCTGCCAGTTAGCATTCAACCAATGTTCCATACTCATCTATCAACTAGGACTGGTATAATAGACCCAAATGAGGCTGCAATACCAGTGAATCATGTGATGATATACAGTAATAATAAAATAACAAACGCAATAACATTGAAGCTACTATTATTCTTCTCAACATGAGCCAATTGCTATATTTATATGGACAATCTAACAATGATTAATGCACTGAAGACTAATAAGAACAGTTAATTCCAGGAGAGAGTGTACTGCATCTGGCAATCGTGAATGAGGACCTTGCAAACGTGAAGTTCCTGCCGGATTCAGGTGCAGAGTACCACGAGCATTGTGTTGGTAACTTTATGTGCCCAGAGGATCAGAAAAGTTCCCGTCCAGACTCACTTGATCATGAATATGTCAATCTGTCTCCTGAAACCAACTACGAGGGGTGAGTATAATGTTATCAAAGACTAGTTTCATTGGTTGGTTTGTTGGTATCATATCTGACCATTAGGAACAGTGACACACTAACACTCTACAAGTGAGGATTTGTGCAGTAGATTTTACAGACAGAATGTCTGTGAAGCAGAATCATGTGTTAGGTATGGTTTGGCTGACTGGAGAACTATCAAACCCTTCCACATGCATCCAAGCACACTATTACTAAATGTGTAATAAAGTCAGTAATACATATTGGTACCAGGAATGTAGCCCTAAAAAATAAAACTGCTTTGGCAGTTTTGTGTGCAGTTCTGGGTTAAAAGAAATGGGTGTGAATCTTCATGATATGAGACCATTTCTAATGATAACTTTAGACTACTAAATTTAGACCTGAAAAACAAACATTTTACAGAATGCATATACTTGAAAAGCCTAATGCTAGTGCCTCATTTGGATATGTTAGAAATTAAGTGAACCTGGTCTGAAATCCATTCATGTTTGATGTCACTGTTTTTAAAATAAATACTAAGGGGATGCCCCAGGACTTGAAAAAACACTGGGATGCTTCCCAGGAACCCCTGGCTCCATTGAATTCCTGGCTCTCAGTGATTTCATGATGGAGTTAATGTAATGAACATATGGTACCTACATGTTTTTTGGCAGTGTAAGAGATAACATAATTGAGATGTTACTGTTTTCATTATTTTCTTTTTGATTAAGTTTGTGATATAAATTTTTTGAGTGAAAAAGGTCTTGATTTGCACTTTGGAGATTTTGGGTTCAAATCTTGACCTGAAATATCTACTATCCTGACTGACGTTCTTTTGTGGTCCCTTGAGATGAATATAGAGAATGCCTGAAATTAGGCCAAAAAACTTCCTTCTATATCTCTTCCAATCCCTTATTCACTAATTGTCCCATCGTGACAAGGATTTGAGCCATTAAATGAATGAAGAATAACTACATGTTAAACAAGTAACTTGATTAGTAAAACAATGTGGTAGCTATTCCTTGAACTGATAACAGAGTGCATGTTACTGCTGATTTAACCAGCTCATTGTTACTCTATACAGTTTTCAGGTGCATACCTTCCACATACAATGTTAATAAATTAAACATGAACATTAACACATTGATTTTTGAAAGAACAATTCCTATACATCAATGTTTATTGCATACTTCTAACTTAGAAACTGAATTAAGCTTGTTGAATGTTAGATTCTTACAACAGTGCCTCTGAAGAGCACTGTTCAGAACTGAACAAAATTCCAGCCAAAGTAAAGTTTATATTTTCATTGTGCATCACAGTTATGTATACTGGGGAGAATACCCTCTGTCTTTTGCTGCATGTTTGGGCCAAGAAGAATGTTACAGGCTGATGTTGGCCAGGGGTGCCAATCCTAATAATCAGGACACAAATGGAAATACTGTACTCCACATGTTGGTCATATATGAAAAACTGGTGAGTACTTACACATTTAGTTGAGAAACCCAATTTCAAATATAGTGTTCTGTCTGATATGAAACTGAACCACCCAGAAGGGCTTTACTAACACAGAATAATTTGACATTCTTGTGTAGAATCATTTTGGCATGGTCCAACACTATCATTGACTTTCCTTTGCATCTCAGGGTACATTCCTCCCTCCTAAAAATAATTATATTCTCATGTTATCAACACAATTACCACCATCATTATAGTTATCTCCATAATAACAACAATAACAACAACAGTATAACACACAGTATAGCAGTATAACACATGCAGTCACAGGAGCGAGACGCGACATAGAGCACAATACACGATAGTGAAAGAGTGCTCCAACAGAAGATGATAGACGTGACTCGCGTAATGAAACACGACGTAAGAATGAAATATGCTGTACAATTTTAATATTTTAACACTTAACATTTATCAGTATATATGATAAATATATATTTTAGTTATTTTAGTATGTATAGACAAGGCATGCAATGAACTAGTTTGTCGTGGATTGGATCAGCACCTGAAGATGGCACATTTGTGCCAAAACATATAGTGAGAGTGAGAAGAGGGGATAGATGAATGTATGCACTAGAAGACGGATAAAATAAATCATGGACTTAAATCAGTGCAACAGGACGCTAAAATATAACATTAATAACAACAACAATGATCAATGATATTATCACCTTCATCATTGTCACCAGTGACATCACCATTATCAACACCATTGTATCAGCTAATTCTAACATTCAGGTAAATATGTTTTACACGACCAACTAACGGTTGCCCTAGGTTGATGAAGCACTGTTATTCTGTTGACGTGTGCCTGGGGCAACTGAGGGTAGGAAGTGTGGGGAGGAAGGAAGATCTGTACAGTTACACATGACTTTGCTGCTGCTTATACTACTTATCAGAGAGTAGTTCACTTTCAACCATGAGCAATCATATGTTGGCGAAATTTTTTGTATATTTGCATATATATCCAGATATTTCATTATCTTATATGCAAGTCTCTTTCTTCTTGAAGTACGTATATGTAGGTTCCTCATTCTTTAACTCAGTCTCTGTACCTAAGTCAGTTTCATATATCAACCAGATATATCATCACACTGATGGACATTGATGAAAAGTATATGTGATTGAATGTTGCAGGTTGCATTTTTATGATTTCTAGGTGGTTTAGTTGTGTGCAAAGTCATGAAAGTAGTGAATGTGTTCACATCCCAGACATTTAAATTTTATTATAACTTAGTGTTTCTTCTACATTGCTTCTGGAAAATACTTATGAGTATATGCCCTGATGGACATTTGTTTCCATTGTTTGTAAGTCAACTTTTGACATGGCCTATAAGGTTGGTGCGTCTCTAGCAGTGCGTAACTTGCAGAACCTCACACCACTCACCCTGTCTGCCAAGCTTGCACGAATAGAGATATTCTTCCACATCCTCAACATTGAGCGAGAGATATATTGGCAGATAGGTAAGGATACACATAAAGTCTATGCATCTAAAAGTGTTAATAATTAAAGAAAAGTTGACAAAAATTACTGTCTTCAGGTCCATAGGGATCAGGGTAAGAAAAACTAAACCTGATGACTCAACTTCCAATGACAGACCCATGCCCTTTCATTCGTGACCCATCACCTTTGATAGCTGAACAAGTTGGTGAACTGGTGACACTCTAAATTTGTGTTTGTGGGTTTTCTCAATTTCTCCAGGCACACAGATTGAATCCAAATTGAGATCCACAAGAACCAATGCTATAGAAGGCTGCGCCATAGCTCAAGCGGTTAGTCACTGGCTTCCCACCGCGGCAGCCTGGGTTCGATCCCGGGTCTGGTCAAGTGGGATTTGTGGTGGACAAAGTGGCTCTGGGGTGGGTTTTCTCAGAGTTCTTCGGTTTCCTCTGCCAATCTCCAGTCCACCAAATTCTCCATCGTCATAATCATAAGCAGGGCAGGTACAATAGGCCAATCAGTGGCCGCCATGCCAAGTGGACCCAGCTGGACTTCACCCCCCACTAAGCAAATGTTATAGAATGTCTGGCAGTGCTGTTGAATTTAAAAAATAAGTGACACAGCTTTCTGAAATTGGAACTATAAATAGTACTGTGGTTGGCAGGAGAAGAATGGATTTGCTCTTCAGGTGTATCAATATGATGACTGTAAGAAAAGAAAGTTTCAAATTTCAAAGTTTAAATGGGCAGGATGGAAAATTATGAGGTCCACAACAAGTTTTTTCAAAATATTTCTCTGTTGAGTTAAAACTTACAGTGAATTTGTAGCTCCAAGTTAAAATTCAAAAACGTTTATTGCTAACTTAAAGTAAACCTCTTCAATGGTGACCTAACTTTGTATGGAGGTCTGATATTTGATATTGACAGTATTTATACACATGACATTACACTGTTGTTCATCAGATACACACAATGGAATTTTGAAATGAATCTTATTGTGTATGAGGCTGTGTGTATCCTTGGTTTCCAGGAAATATTACTTGTGCTGCAAACCCACTAGAACAAATTGATACTATTGATATTGAAACAGGGAACATCAGCAAGAACTCAGCACTAAACCTGGTTGTGTTTGGGGTAAGAAACACCAATTCCATCTCCTGAAAGCCGAAATGTGCACAACACTGTCTTGATGTTGACCCTGCTCTTTGGTAATTTTACTATATTTAAGTGATTTTCATTGTCATTGCTTTGGAGATGCATACTGTCTCCATCTTCAAGGTAAAGTGGTTATTCCATGGCTTTAGCCAGTTCTTTCAGTACATGTACACATTTGGTTGTCCACTGATAACTTCAGCAATGCAAAAACAGGACCAACATCAGCATTGAATTGCCATGAAATCATCTACAACATAGATCTTTTTCTGAAATATCTTGACCAATTATTTTTCAAATTTAAAATTTTCTTAATATGTCACATCTTGACAACACAGGACATCAGTTTCATATCCACACTTATATTTTGTTTGTAATGGAATATAATTTCAGATAATCCATGTACAATAAGTCCCAAGTGATAAGTCACTTAAAATCATCCTTACATATTAGTGTTTATTTCTTGCATATTGTAAACATCATGTGTTAATTTCTTTGGATATTTCAGGATAAAGACGAACATTTAGAACTGATGGATGGCATGCTTGTGGATCTTCTTAATGCCAAATGGAATGCATTTGGCAAATTCAGGTATTTTATCCAGTTGTTCCAACAGAACTGAACACTCAAAAACCTGTTTTGTTTCAAAGCATGTTATGGTCACAGAAGGAGGGGAGGGGGAATCTTCTGCCCTGAACAGTCTAAGGCTTACATTAAAGATTGTCTTAAGTGATATAAATGCAAATTTGTAAGCAAATTCTATGGCTCTCCTGCCCCCAGGAAAAAATCGTTGTGGTGCTCATGCAGCACATTCCCTTCACATCAATAGGTTAGTCTAATGAGTTTTACTGTACTGTAAAGCAGTTTCTCAACTGCAAGATAGTAATGTTTCACACATTTGAAAAGAAAATTTAGTGGTAGCGTATTTTTACTGCATCAGATGAGATGATTGAATCGTTATTTGAGTATAAGAGAAACTAGGACCACCTCTTAGAGCTTGCTTTAAAACTTAAGTCTGTAAAAAAGTATTTTGTGAACTATACATTTACCTATCTCCCCAGTAAGTATAATTGCCATGTTCCATCTACGCAACTTTAAGAATGTATACCCATTCAACTGTTTACTAAAGATCACCATATGTTTCGACCATCCAACTGGTCACCACCAGGTGATACAATACTTAAAAGTGTTTCTGAATTGCAATCATTTAAGTAGGGGCATGCAGTAGCGTAGTTGTTTGAGGCACTATGCTACCAGCCGGAACGTTGCGGGTTCAAGTCCCGATGAAGTCATGGGATTTTTTCAACTGACCTAATCCTTCTGGCCGCACTATCGCCCTGGGGGTCAACTCAGCTTCTAACAGAAATGAGTACCAAGAATTAATTACATAATTTTCCTGGGGATTAAAGCAGGGCCAGCACGTAAGGCTGACAACCTTACCGCCATCTTTCAGCTGATTGTCTAGACAATGTGGGACCCTCACCATCTCACAACCCTATGGGCCTTCATAGCCTGTTACAGGGATAGCTCTACTTACTTTTATCATTTTAACTAGCCAGGGTAGCGTATTGGGTATAGCGACTGGCTACAGGCTGGACAACAGAGGGGTCAGAGTTCACGTCCTGGTAGGATCAAGAATTTTCTCTTCTCCAAATCCTCCAGACTGGCTATAGGGTCCACACTACCTCCTATCCAATGGGTACCGGGGGCTCTTTCCCCAGAGGTAAAGTGGCAAGGACGTGAAGCCGACCACTCACCTCCAGCTAATGCAAAGATCAAAAAATGAGGATCTATATATCCACTCCCCTATATGCCCTCATGGCATAGTGTTTAATTTGTTGAGCACAGGGACAACTTTACCATTTTATCATTTTAACTACATATGGGTCCCATATTTACAATCATTTCTGTCTAACTATCTGTGATGGATTCGTTGATATAAATCATAAAAATTATGAAATTGTAAAATTGCTACTTTATAATGTAGATTAGGTAAAATTGATCCCATAACACTGAAGTAAAATTAGGTACAATATAGTCTGAGTCAAAAGTGCTATAAGGGTGTAGTCCCTTCACCCCCATTTTAGCCTGGTGTTGATTGGTATTCGTGACACATGTGACGCTTTGGAACAGACATACTCGTATGGGTGTTACTTGACCTACTAGGCTATAGTCCTTCATTCATATATATGCTATACCAGTGTTTCTAAACTGCTGGGCCATGGCCCAGTACTGGGCCCCGGCAACAATTATACCAGGCCCTCATCTTATAGGAAAAAGAATTTACTTGGCTACGGTATGACAAAAGTAGAGAACCACTATACTATACTCTACAGCCCAAGAGCACACAAGTGAAGGACCATAGCCTAGTAGCCTAAGTAACACCCATCAATCTATTCCAAAGTGTCACATGTATCATGAATGTTAATCAACACCGAGATAACATGGGGAAGAAGGGAATATACCGTTATAGTGCTTTTGACTCAGACTACATTTTACCTAATTTTACTTTGTGGGAACATCCCACATTGTCACGCATTTCTGCAACGCTCGCTCTTCACATCACTTTTCACCATCACGCGCGCTAACCAATCAGATTGCTTCAAACGATCGCATTTATACTACGCTCGGCGCTAGCCCGCGTCTACACCATTACGCGTGCTAGCCAATCAATTCTTGCTCCCCACTTTCGAGTTTGGCTCCGCCCCACCGACCAGTGTATAAAAGAGCAGAGTTATGCAGTTCCATTCAGTTCATCGTCAGCCTACAAGCCAGCCGCATCAAGCAAGTTAAGCCAGTAGGCTTCGTCGCCAGCGCTCGGTCTTCGGAAACATCGGCAGGCTGCGCCAGGCACGACTGCCTCGGCTCGCCAGCGCTCTCACACCCGACTCACTGGGGCACAGCGCCTGGACTCGCCGGTGGTCGTGTTACGGTCTGACTCACTAGGCATCTGGCGTAGCCACTGCCTCATGGCTCCTACAGCCGCGCTCAGCAACTAGCCTTTCACCAGCAGCTGCCGCACTGCGATCAAGCAACCTCCAATTCACGCTGCCGCACGGCAACCAAGCAACCTCCAGCCAGGGCCGCACTGCGGCCAGGCCACTCACCGCAACTAGCCTTTCTCCTTACCGGCGCGCGCCGCGCTACCTCACCGGTCAAGCAGCAACAGCAACCACGGTCCTTTTCAGGGCCAACAAATTGTTCCGAAGAAGTGGGTTGTCATAGGAGTAATGACAAGACTACACACATCAACGTAAAGACATCCCCACAACTTCAATGATATGGGATCAGTTTTACCTAATCTACATTATAATGTAGCAACTTTATAATTTTATAATTTTTATGATTTATATCAATAAATCCAGCATAGATAGAGATGATTGTAAATATGGGCCCATATGTTAGTTAAGATGGTTGCAAATCAACAACACTTCAATTATGGTATCACCTGAAGATGACCAGTTGGATGTGTATACATTCTTAGAGCTGTGTAGACAGAACATGGAAATTAGATTTACTTTGGGCACACAACAGGATGCACTCTATAAAGACTATCTCCCCATTTCCTGTCTACCCAAGAAATTGTTCTGTAGCATGTGCTTTGACTTGTAAACACATTCTTGCAATTGGCCTATTTTGTGTTCTTATAAATCTTTTGTTCCTTTTCAGGTTCTACCGACAGTTCTTCTTGTTTCTCTTCTACTTTCTAATTTCTCTGGTTTGCTTTACCCTCAGGCCTGGTCCACCTCCAAAGCAAGCAGCTACATCTCCACCCCTCAATAGTACTGGCTCAAATGTCACTACTCCTATCCCACTGAGCAACAGTTCAACTTTTTCTCACATGTCATCACAGTTAAGATTATCAGATATTTCACTCTGAGATTCTAATTTTTCACCAGAGTTTTACTTCCAGAATCATTCATTCATTAAAAACATACTTTTGCCATACAGAATATTTTCATCACCTGATTACAATGGCCAAATAGGTGAACCGTTTATTCCCACAAATATTACTTTGAATTCAGAGGTAACTTCTTACTTGGGTGGTATGTACCATAAGAACTCCAGCAAACACACACAGTACTCAGCTTCGAATAAACACCTCAATTACACTGGAATTTCTTCTCATGGTGAGGAAGTTGCAGAAGAAAAATGAAAGAACACAAGAATCAAGAGTGACTTTTCATCACAGGTAAAGGGTTTGTTGATACATATCTCTATACCATCACTGTGAATATTCATTCATAATATTTGACTTCAAAATATTAGAATTATGATTAATTTTCAGTAAGTGACACAATGCAGCTAGTAGCTGATGCTGTTTGATGATAAAGAATGAATATTAATGTGTATATTGGACTTATAAATAATTACTCTGTCTTCAAATATGCTGGCAGTTGTGGCTGACTCTGCTCTCATGTGGCCCATTAGAAACTTTCTAATATTTCCCCCCCCCCGCCATGAAGGACTGTGTGGATGTTCTGACTTCCTACGACACTATGCCCATACTTCCTGAGTAACAAAATCAATGGAATGACTGCACAAAATTCTGAAATTTTTTTGTCTTTGTTGCGGTATCTTTAAGATGGAACTAATTACTCATCCCATTGCGCTGAGGTGTCCTTTTAGAGGACAGTGACCTCTAAACATGCCAGTCACATATCTCAGTAGGTTCCTACTTTGTCGAGAGTGCTCTTGAAGAAACTCCTTCATACTACAGAACACATAAATACATTCTCTGGGCAAAATGCAGAGTTCTGAGAGTGAAAACAGGTGGTACACATAGCTACTATTATACCTTATGTTACAATATGCTGATGTGACATTATGTTCTGCTTGCAATACACAGAACAAAGCAGCTGAAGATGATGATGATGACGATGACTGGTGGGAAGACCTTATAGAGGAGTGTCGACTGATACAGTTTGGGTCCCTGAAAGTGAAGATTCGAGTTATCTGTGAGTTATGCATGGAGATTGGTTCCGTGCTATATATTCTGGCAGCTCTATGGGAGGCATGCTTTCTTGGTCTCAACATGTTCATCGACAACTTCGTATGAACACAACCTTGACCAGACAATAAAGACTGGAAGCCCTTTCTCCAGGGGTAAAGTGGAAGGAATGTGAATATGACTAAGCCCAACATCATTACATTTTAAGGCATCACACATTCTCAGATATCAAAGCTACAATAATTTTCACACATAGCAGAACAGTGAGGCAAACTAATATGTTGCCCCTTTCTGTCTTCAGTATTTAACCAGAAGTACAGTTAAACAAACTTTGCCATCAGAATATTTTGGAGGGGGGGATATAATTCAGTTTTAATAATTGCTTTCTTTTAAGTTTTGTTTTCTTCTTGTCCACTTATTTTCTATTTTTATCTCTGTGTGGTTGAAGTCTTCCTACTTTCAAAGCCTTATGCATCAGCAGAAATACAGCCTTTTGTATCACCTATAGCTGAGGTCGAAGAAATCTTCTGTCTGGGCATATATAGCAAGGGGCTAAGTAATGTTCATGTAACCACTAATTCTGTGTGTGTTGTGTGTCTTGTGTGCATGTGTTGTGAATGTTTTGTGTGCCTATGTTATGTGTTTTGTGTGTCATGTGTCGCTCTTTACACCTATGTACAGAGAGTAGACACATGTTCACCTGACTATAGATTTAAACTGTTAGTGCGGTACAAAAGGAAGGATTTACTGAACAGTATTTCTTGGAAGCCCTGGAAGTCCATTCCATAGCCAGTCACACCATTTATGGAACCTGAAATTCTTTACCAAGATCACAGCAGTCCCCTACTGATCTCTGCCATGAGACAGATGAATATTGTCCATGCTAGCACAATGTATTTCTTAGAGATCCATTTTAATTTTGTGCTCCCACTGAATGCAGAGGTAAAGTGGTTAGCACCTCTGCTTCATATTCAGAAGGACCTAGGTTCAAATTTCGGTACAAAGACAGTCTGTCATGACTTAGGCTGCTACTGATTTTCCTCAGACCTTCAAGACATATGCCATGAGAATATCACAAATTAGGCCACAACAGCCTCTTTCCATCTACTTTTGAATTTGTTACACACTAATTATCCTGCTATGTAGAATTATATATAGTTTGAGTTATTAACAGTGTCCTTAAATAGATCATAAATAAATAAACACACAACCAACCATTACCCTTCCATTTATGCCTATGTTTCCCAATGTTGTCTCTTCACTGCAGTTTTCTAGATAAAATCTGTATGCATTTCACATCTCCCACATGTGTTCCTTATAGGTCCTATCTACAAATTATGGAATTTCAATTTATCCACACCCTGTTGTTTCTTCCGACATCTTAATATTCTCATGCACAGCCTGTTCTCAAACAACTTCAGTCTACATTCTTTGCCTGTTTTGAGAATTCAAGGAAATTATTTTATGTGACCTCAATTTTTTCTTGCTTTCTGTATTGTACCCTCTTCCAAATTTACTGTGCAGATGACAGCACCATCACGTGTTATGTTCCTGTGCTCCTGTGTTCTGATGCTCTTCATGCAACTCCTCAGATCCTCCTGCCTCACCGAGATTGAGGATGTAGTTGCTGTTTTCATCATGCTGACAACAGCACCATACTTCCTCTTCTTCTGCAGGTATGTAGGTCTCAGTTTCATGTTTACATGAACCAGAAGTAAACACTGTTTGAGTAACATTTATTAATTGTGTGTATTAAAGACTGAAGCAGTTGGGATACAGTCATAGTGATGGCATGAGCTAGGATATTTTCACTGGCTAAGCATGCTGATGTTCTAACAAGACAACAGAATTCAGGGTTAGATATTTCATGTGAATGGGATGTGTTTCCACAGGGGCTTCAAAACAGTTCGACCATTTGTGGAGATGATATACCGCATGATTATGGGTGACCTCCTGCGGTTTGTGTCAATTTATCTTGTGTTTGTCATGGGATTTTCACAGTGTAAGTATCTAGAGAAAAATAAGATGAAATAAATTTAAGAACTGCAAGTGGCCTAAGTAAGTGTCTGAAGTATAAGAAGAGGCCATTTTGATGAGTTTATCTTGTTGATTTTCTTTGTGTCGTGCTTACATATCACTTAACAGCCATATTGGATGAGAAGAAACTTTTTATTATAATACAAAACAAAAACAAATGAATATAGATTACTATTACCAACTTGAACATCTTTATAATACTAGATTCTCAACATATCTAAGTGTTATATAGTCTGGAATTGTCAACTGCGTGTGATTTGAAGGCCAGAATAATTTTTACTGCTATAGGAGCTTCGTACATAATGTGTATCACAGCTAATGTATGATAGGAATGAACCATACAGACAGCCCCATAAGGCTTTACATGATGAGCTTCATTTTATCAAGGGGTTTCCTGTTGTTGTTTCTGGGGCTTGGTTAGATCTTTTCATTTTCTTTACCTGTTGCCAAGTGTAGTTTGTTCTTATTTCTGGCTCATATTGGGGGTTATTATTGTTACTGTTTTTTGATGGGGTTACATAAATTGTTGTTTGTTCCAAAGGCATCATATTGTAGCTGGTTTGTTTAATTTGGTATTGTGGTACTGGGCCTGTGAATTGCTGTTGCATTACCTGCTGCTGTGGGTCTACATTACTACCCAGTCCCAGTGCTGTCCACATGCTGGCCGCCTCACAGAAAGGTAGTTTATCATTTGTTTTCTGCAGTTTCACTAGAAAACAAAATTAATTATTACATTCTAACACCACACTAAGTCTCCTCAGTCTGCTTTCACTATTCAGTGCTAGGTTATTGCTATCAACAAAGGTTACACCTGTATAATATTTTCTGTAGGCATATCATGATAAGAAATTACCAGCTTATGTTACAGCTACTGAGACTAAAGTTCTGGGGTTTTATTTCATCCATGGATCATTATACATGATATGGGACAAGTCATCTGTGACATGTTATGNTTATTGATGACACTTTGTCTTGGAGCCAGCACATTTATTATATTATAAACATATTATCAATTCAATTCAATTCAATTTTATTTCATCCATGGATCATTATACATGATATGGGACAAGTCATCTGTGACATGTTATGCAATTAGAAATATAGCGCATACAGTAACAACAGAAATGCTAAGGTTAATCTACTTTGCCCATGTTCATTCTATTATTAGTTATGGAATAATATTCTGGTGCAGTGCTAGCTTAGCGCAAAAGGTATTCATAATGCAAAAGAGAATTATCAAGAGTGATAATGAATATGATGCCAAGAGACTCCTGTAGGGAGATTTTTAAAAGGATGAAAATAATGACATTGTATTCCCAAAATATATATATGTGTACTACTTTTATTTGTGGTTAATAGTAAAAACATATTTGAGAACAACAGTGAATTACATGATCATAAAACTAGGTTATGTAAAAACTTGCACCTACATGAATCTGGCCAAATTTGACAAAGATGTCTATATCACAGTTATAAGAGTTTTTAATCATTTACCTCATTCAGTAAAAAGATTGGTGAATGATGAGAAGGGTTTTACTTTAAAAGGATTTCTGTGCCACCATTCCTTTTACTACATGAATGAGTTTTATCAATATACTGAGAGTTAGAATATACTATTTCCTGGTACTAAGTACTGTTTTAATATATGTATGTTTTATTATCTAGGTTTTGTATATTGACTCACCCGATATTCTGGGTATGAAATTTTAAAAATAATTCTGTTGTAAATAAACTTCGAATATGTGCAGTACACATTTTTTAATTGTGTATTATAAACTTAGATATCTAAAAACAGTGTTATATATTGTTGACTTGTGTTTGTCTTATCCTGCTAAGAATATTTATTGACTTGTTCCGCATCTGCGGCCCTTTGCCAGTTATAGATTTATGGAACGAATAAATATGAATGAATGTACTCACGTCTTCACACTTTGAGCTCAAGATAGTGACTGTGAAACTTGTTAAATGCATAACTGTTCATCAAAACGGCCTTGATCTGGCGACAAAATCCATTGTACAAAATGTAAGTAATATATAGCTTATAATTAGGGCCCGAATTTCTATGACATGTCATATTTTTTTTCCTAGGGTTTATTCCTATTTTTAAATGTAATTATGCATGTTTCCAGTCATTCTTATTGAAATTATGTCGTTTTTATTGTGCATATAAATGCATATTTTAGAGTTTTATTGGTTTTACAGCATATTTTGGCATAATTTTGAAATAAGGTCATATTTTTGTCATTTTAGAAACAA